CCCTTGCAAGCTTTCAGCTTGAGCAGCTCGCAGACTCGTTCCGGTTGCAAGCACCTTTTCGGTCCGAGCAGTGAGGAAAAAGGCAGGACCGCGCCTGTGTTTGTGCTGGAGTGCGCTACCTCGTTTGCATGGTAGCGGAGCCTCTCAAGACCAGAGGGTCTGAGGGGTTCGTGTGAGAAGTGAGCCAGGACCAGAACGATCCAGGGGTGTCTTTCTGGAACTGAGGATGTCAGAACTTCGGTTCACGAAGGATGGTGTTCCAATCTTCGATGGGTCTCCAGAGCAATATGTCAGTTATAAGCGTGCAGCCCTCGTGTATGCGGAGACGGTGGAGTGGAAAAAGAAGATGCTGGCTGGTCCCAGGCTACAGGCAGCCTTGGAAGGCAGCGCCAGGATGTCTGTAGAACACATGCCTCCAGGATGGGTGTCACATGAGAAAGGTGCTAAGCAGCTGTTGGAGTACCTGAAGCTCCAGGTGCGGGCACCCACTCTGGCAGAGGCTGGACGGACCATGTCAAGGTTCTTTTACGGCATCAAACGTCGCCGTGGATAAGGCATGGCTGCATGGATTGTACGACATGATGAAGCTTTGCTGGAGGCCAAGCGCACTCTCGCCGAGGCCATTCATGAGTATGGGCCCTCTAGTGTGCCCGAACCACCGCGACAAGGAAGTCAAGGCAGTGGATGGCTTCGGAACAGCAGGCCAGCTTCTGAAACTGGAGGTAGCCGGCGTGGATCCCCAACGGCACAAGAGGACGCACAGCAAGCGGCTACTCCAGAAGATGAAGGTGCACCCAGTGAGGATGTCAACACTCCCGAGGCCGACGAGGAGTGGTATGATGAGTGGTGGCAGTCGTGGCCTTGGTACTCCTCTTCTTGGGAGTCCTCGTCTGGCTACAATGAAAGTGGCAATTCATGGCAGCAGAAAGAGACTCTGAGTCAAAAGACGTGGGATGTCTCAGAAGCTGCCTCGGCCCAGGCAGAGCGATTCCTCCCCGACTTTGTGATCGCGTGGTTGCTACTGCAGCGGTCAGGTCTGGACTCAACAGAACGAAGCGTGATCGTGGCCAACCTGAAGAATCAGTTTCGGACCGATCGCGTGAAGGAGGCGCTCAAGTTGACCTGGCCAGACGATGAGCTTCGACGACGTGACTCTCAGAAACAGACCGCCATGTTCACAACTGAGGAGACAGCCATGCTCGCCGAAGATGATGACACTCCAGAGGAGCCACCCGCCTCCTGGGATGACCCTGCCGATGACTACGCCTACCAAGCCTTGGAGTCTGAAGCACAAGAGGCCTATGCTGCGATTCAAGATGGTCGCCGTACTCTTCGAGAAGCCCGAGAAAAGCAAGCCATGATGCGCCGAAACCGCAACTTCTACTCTGGAAAGGGTGGCGGCAAGGGCGGTTCCATGAAGGGCGCATTCTCTGGGGGCACCAAGCCACCTGTCAAGTGCTTCAGCTGTGGAGGCCCTCATCTTCGACGTGACTGTCCACACCAAGGCGAGCCAAAGCCGAGTGACCAGGGAGCACATTTGGTGTTCCATGCGCTCGAGGTGACCAACACTCAAACAGCTGCAGAGCCAAAGTGGGATGAAGCTTTTGTTCTGGCGGCACAATCCGAGGATGAGCATAACCTCCTTGCCTTGGACCAGATTATCAAGGAGGGAAAGGCAATCATTGATGGAGGGGCCTACGAGCAACCTTGGATCCGAGGATGCCCTCCAACAGTTGGCAGCCCTGAACTGGGAGCGCGAAGGGGATGATGGTCTCCAGATTGTGCCGGGGGAGACTCCTTCATTCAGGTTCGGGAACAATGGCCGCCATGATTGCCTCTCCACAGCACTGCTCAACCTGCGCCTGGGAGGTGACCTGAGTAAGATGCGGATTCATCTCCATGACATTCCAGGTCAGCCAGTACTCCTGAGCGTTAAAGGTCTTCGAGCTCTTGGTGCTGTGATTGATTTTGAGAAGAATGAAGCTGTCTTTAAGAATGTCGATGCCACCAGAGTCGCTACGCTTGAAACAACAGCAAGTGGGCACCAGCTTTTCCCTCTCGCTGGAGATGCACTCAAGGACTCTTATGTTCGCAAGACCCCTTTTCAAGGTCTCAAGTCCGAGGGCATCAAGCCTACAACGGTGGCCGTGGAGTAGGGACAGCACCTTCTGGTGGCACATGGCGCCAGGGATCACCAGAAGGAAAAAGAGATTGTAGCGCCAGAAGTGATGTACAGAGAGGATTCAGTCTGCCATTCGTCTACTCATAGTGTGTGTGT